ACTTAGTTTATCTGCATATTATAGCAACATAACGAATGGTCACGTCTAATGTTGCACAAATCAGTAATAGGAAGATCCATTCATCTTGTGCTTGAACAAAACTGTGAAGTGAGAGTGAAATGCAGCTAGCGTTCCAAGCGTGATTCGCGGCGAATAACGCAGAAGAGCAACGGAATACCAACGACTTCAGAGATAAAAATCTAAATTCTGGCGGCTAAAAATTAACGATGACTACGGCTCGCTCAGTACGATTTATTAATGACGCTAGACACTCGTTTCACTACAGTGAACCGCTATTATTTTTGTCCCCTTTTACAACTAAAGAACTTTAAATTAAAATAATTTTGCGAAGCTATCTGAGAAACTGAGGTCATTTTGCGCCGTGTTGAAACGTAACGTAACAACATTCTGTGCATCAATAAGTTACTATACACGGTTGGTTAAAATTTTGTTATCATGAAAATTTCACGTAGCCAAGACATGAAATTTTTCAAGTGCGAAAGGGCATTCGCTAAGCTGACCTGACTGATGGCTAAGCATTGATTTGACATATAAGTCAAGCGTTGGAAGATCAGCCTACAATAGTAGGCCTACACTGAATTCAGTTGTAGCAAGAAAACGCTGTCGCTTTGAAATGGACAACGATTTAGTGTCAGATCCTATCGGTATGGATGGATCACCATTGTGGCACGTAAAATATACAATTTGCCTGACGTTTGACTGATTCTCATGGGTTATATGGCACAGTTTTAAAAGAATGTGCTCATAATATGCACATACTCTAGTCTAAATAACATAAGCAAATGATACATAAAAAAGATGCATAATGTACGTATTATAGAGTAAATAGGTATTTTGTTTTTAATCGACATATGCACGCAGTATATAATCAACCGTGCTTAGTTACCAGTACAGTAATTCCGTGTGAAGTTAATTTACCAACAGACCGGGCCAAAATGCTTCCAGCGACTGGAACACCGGCATAGAAACCTTTCCAGAGTAGGACGAAACCCAGAAGAACCAATCGTCGTGTTTCATATATTTGTCAATGACCGCCTTGTAAGCTGAAAGAACCGCAGATTTAAAGACGAAATTTGACGAGGAGTACGAAGGACAACGGTAACCCACCTTTGAACTGCTTCAAAAGGCGAACGTGCGAAAACAGTGCACCTCCCTTTACCAGGTACTCGAAGTACGAATCAACGCCAGCGCCGATTCCAGAGTCGACAGCTGTCCATTGTCCAGTCTTAACGTCTATGTGATTGCCCACCTAACAGTAGCAGAATGAGAGATAGGAAAATCAAAGGATGTCGAATGTTCGGTCACATTACAAGTAGTTTCCAACAAGTAGTCGTTTTGCAGGAGAAACTTTCTATGAGTCTGCACTGATGCTAAATCTTTAGATTAATATGACCTCAACTTATTAAAAGATGGCTTCAGAAATCAATTGATATAAATTTCTTTAGTTCACTAAATCTAAATTTATCACTGAAGTGACAATAAGCATAATTAATAATTTACAAAGTTGAAAATTACGATTTACTTAAAATAGAAATAATAAAACTGACGAAAAAGGAAGCGAAAGAGTGAAAAAATTACCAATTAGCGAAAACATGCATTCAGTTGAAATTAATTTTCATAAAGAAAAGGCTTTGCAGTTCAGTCGAAAACAAAACGGTGATTCTCTCCAATGAAAACACAAAGTCCACTTGCAGCTATCTTTTAGTAACGAAAAATTAAGCATGCAATCGAAAACCCAAAATTATGAAAAATCAACAATGAGTGAAATTTGCGGATTAATCATCTGACCTGTTCCGAGTCAAAAAAACAAAAGGTCGAGTGTGCATGGGAAACACACTGTTAATCACTGATAGTACAAGCTCAAAGTCTTGTTATCGAAAAAGCCAACGTGTACTGAACCGCTCATTCAATTTTGACGCCAAAACGTCTAAATTCAAAATATTCTTTACGGGAAGACACCGCTTGTCAGTGTTTTGAATCTCCAACGCTTTGGATCATGATCGATCTACCTTCTGGGAGAGACATAACATTAAAGAGAACATTAAAGCATAACTCAGTACAGTCGGGCACAAACTTTACAATAGTGGTTTTAACATTGATAGTGTACGTAGCTTCATGCAATATCGTTCTTATGCTGCATGCTCCACAGATGTCGAGTTCTTTCCCCGTTTCTTCTTCACGACCTGCGGATCTTTTGCATTTCTTCACCCGTTTCATTTCTGTGCTTGTTCAGTTGACGTGGATCAGTGTTTCACTATCTAGTCAGATTACCGATGTGTTCCTTCTTCCTCTCTTATATGGTGTTGACAACTTATCCATATAACCGAGACCAACTCACAATGGAGGGGGTAGATCTCGCGTCATTACTGCATGAATTTTGGCTCGGGCGTTTTGATATGTACCAGCTGGCTCTATAATGTTTATTTCGGATCCGGATTTGGGAAAATGCTCACCATTCCAAGATTCGATCGGTGAAGCCACAACTCCTCGAGCGCCTTTAAAGCAATCTTCTCGAAAAAGTCATTGCCGGTGAGACGGCTAAGAGCGCCAAACTCCAACAAGAACGTCCCTACGCCTGCAGTGCACGTCACCGGGGTCTCCTTCCGATGCACGCCGTATCGCAAATTTATCGTGCCATACGGCATACCAGTGTCCGTGTTGAAAGCTAAACAAAAATGCAAATGATATAATGTTTATTATCTAAGTCAATAATTCCTAAATTATAAACATGATAAGTTGTTTGTACTTCTGAGTATGTATGACCAAATTTAAAAATGACTCTATGTACCCCACCCCTTTAGGCAACTAGTAGCAGAGGGCGGAGCAACATGCCGTGAAATTTGCGTTGGAGGAGCCATTCGTTGGTTGAATTCTTAAAGTGAAAATAGAAAATACATTATAATTGTTACTGACTTATTAATCCGTACAATTCAAATTGTTTTGAAACTTTCATGTCGGGTATCTGGTCGCATACGAAGTAAGACTGAAGGACATACACCCTCGCAGCATAACATAAGTTATGTGAATAACGCATAATTCCTCCACGACCAGACTTCACGGGGTACTGCACCGCCTCTCTGAACCTACTTGCCTGGGGGGCATTTAAACAGGCTACAACTCGATGGTATTCAAGCACCTGCAGTGCCAGATGCATCTCGCATGTTTTCGTTCGCTGCACCTACACTAACGCTCCTTAGGACCGATATCGCAGGAGCTCAAGCCCTCCTTATGCTACCGCACAAGCATGCTCATACGCGGCAATATGTCTGATAACGCAAAACTTCTCCAATCCAGATTTATGTGAACGCGCATTAGCAAAACCCTGGCAAAATGCTGTTGCGGTTCTCGGATTATCATATGAGTAATTCAATATACTCTTAAAAGCCAAACCACGAATCCCAGATTTAATTTATCATATAACGAAAGCACTGTCGCAAGACAGAGTATTGAAAAGAGCCCACGACTCTTCCAAACCGGACAATCAGTCGAGCAACATCCCCTTGCTCCAAGATACTCTGACGGCCCATAAAGCACATAAGGAACTCTCGCAATTGCAAAATCTTTGCTACGGAGCAATGTAAATATCTAGTCACTAAAAATATTGAATGTGCATCCATGCACTGGAGGTTTTTAAATGCCACACAGCGAAACTGACTTAGATAGTGCCATTATAAACAAGGGGTGGTGCCTCACGCCTTGAATCGTGATCTTGAAAAATTACACACCGAGCTTACACACAAAATATCACAGTATTTCTCATCACGTGTGAGAGAGGTGTGAAGAGGCATTTAGCCCATTCGCTGCTTGACGAAATACCTGGAAGCAGTTTCCAGGCTAACCGCTCGGCTAGCCTCAAGAAAGGTCCGCTGCAGGGCCAACCGTCTTCGACCGTTAAGCCGCCCATCTTGGACAACATGTGCGCGGATAGCAGGCCACCGATCACTGAAATAACGACGTGTCAAAGCAGGCGTCAAGACACTCAGGTGACAACACAGCGTTACCTCGGATATTGGTTTCGAATACGGACACGTTAACGTTGGCGTTCACGTCTATTTTGCTCAGCACCAACTCGGACACCCGTCGAAACTCGCTCATGTTGCCAAGCACAACCAGGGTGTCAAGAGAATCGACAAGCGTCAAAGCGAAACTTAAATTTGCAAAATTAATTTTCAATCAACTTTCGTACAGCAACAAAAGCTGAACATACAGTGCTTCAGGCAATAAGCATAAGCGAGAATGACGTAGGCCGTAGGTTTATGCCCAACCCCTCCCCCCACAACCTCAAACTCATTTATGAAATTCTAGAGCAACTGACAATGGCATATTCTAATATATAAAAGAAAACGAAAATCCAAAGGACGAGGAAATGGTGACAAGAAATAATGAAAAAAAAACTTCATACCGTTCAAGTGATCATAAACACCAACATCAGAAATATGACCTACAGGTGCGCACAGGAATTGCTTTAAAATCTTAACATAGTATGTACCGTCTGGATCGCATTTAATAAGCAAAAACGGTTGTTAACCTATATCGTTTGAGCAGACGGACGGGGCAGCGATTTCGGATTTTGTGTTTGTCTGGACACACAATCGCTGGACACTTCTTCGTCCATCGCAAGGCGCAAGGATAAACATGAATAGTCACGGAGATGTTAGATGTCCAGATGATTTGTTAGCTGAAGGTCGCAGGAGAAGTATCCTGCTGTCGAACCTCCTGAGTGCATATGTAATATGCGACACAATCTAGTTCTCAGGACTTTCCTGTTCGACTTTGACTTCCATGAGTATAGGAGACAGCCGCCAAAAAGGGTGGGAAAAATCACGGTCAACCCCGAAGCAGGCATTAATTCGAGCACATGCCAAAAATGACGAAAACGTGAAGTTATGGTAGGTGTTCTCATATTAAGAGTAATGATCCCTAGGATTAAGTTAATCCATTCAATCTGCTACAAGGTAAATGGAAGAAGCATAACCTGGTGAGCATATATGCCGAAAAAAACACGGCTAAGGGATTCATTCCAGAAATCCGAATAGAAGAATCGCGTCTGATCTATCGACTCAGAATGAAATTATTTCATGAAACTCCTCATATTTGTACCGGCCAGGAAAAGTTCTAATATGGAGAAAAAACCGTTCGATATAATCAACTCTGCTGCAATGAAAATCACGAAGGCCACTCGTAGACATCAAAACAACAACTGAGTGCTCGCTTAGCTTATCATGCCTGCCAAGCGAGTATATCCAAACTAAGGGAGGGTAATCAAACAGATCCGGAAGGAAGCATCAAATCTAACTAATACAAAAACGAAAACATTCCTAGTACTGTTAATACTTGCCTCTTCCTAACAGTCCCGTTCTGAACTTAGTGTTATCGTTATCAATACCAGCGGGATACCCAATAATAGCACCACAGTGCTACTCAATAGTTAATACTATCACAAGCACAACTGCCGTTAAGTACAAGAATTCACAGCCACCTGTTCGATGGGAATTTGAACATAAAAAGCAGTCATACGTACCTCCCCCAGGTATCCATTCCCTTGCAAGAAATCGGTTTCAGCTCGTCGAATGGATATGCATACTGCAGATAACCGTTGTAGGCGTGATAGAACATGTTTTTAACACGTGTCCTATGAAAATGAATAAACAGTAGCACAAATACCAACCTACACATAGGCCTACATTAAATAAATCTCCTATTGCTGTCATATATTAAGTTAACACTAGTGAAAAACGAATATTCGTTCTGAATTAGTTCACACAACAAGAACTGTATATTTGCTACCTATGCACTGTAAGCCGAAGTACAAAAAACAATACCACTACCATTATGTTACATCCTCATAAACAGTACCAAGACAAGTTTTAAAAAAGCTTTATCAGTTTAAAAAGTACATGTTGTAAACTAAAAACCATAAGACACCATTTATTCATATACAATGCAAACAGCATCTGTCAAATGACTTACCAGTACTAAGGTTTCAGCCCCTCTCTATCGGTCATCTCTGAGGTAGTGGGGTTGACTTCTGACTCGAAACATTATAGCAGCTGCGAAGCACAGAAAGACTTTTCAAGGTTAACCCTCTGTACCTTGAAGAAGAGTGAGTAGCGGGCCGAAAGTAGGTACCGGTCAATCATTAGATTACCCAATTATTTGCACTTTGTATAAATAAATCGTTTTATGCCCTTTTTATGTAGGGACGAAATACTCAATTTTCGGATACATTTTAAACTGAGGGTACGTATTTCATTTGGCACAGCCCAGTTCAGTGCATAGTACACATACAACGAACACAGTGCGTCCATCAAAGTATATAACCATCAGGCACCCAGTATTCAGCGCGCATATATTAAGCGCTGAAGGCAAAGAGTAGCACATTCCAACTGATGTACACTACTAAGAATTCACTGAATATAGTGCTTGCTGACTACATATACTCAAAGTACATGTGCCATATATCAAACGGTGCTCGTATGTCAAATAATCGGACTCTTCCAAAAAAAAATTTCGCGGCGTATTGTACTGCCCTCTTGCTCATAACTGTCCAGTGGACTTTAAAGCAGACTCCGACTCCGTCGTATTTGAACAGTTCTAGTACCAGATGAAACTTGCGTTATTTTCTTTCCTAGAGCCACCTCGCGTTCACCGCGATATTTAAGGAAATAGTGGGCCTCATATGGCTGCCGCGTAAACGAGCAGTGGGGCATTGGAATACGCCATGAAATCCAGTCTTCGATGAGTCAATCTTTATTTGACATACTCGGGCGTACGAACAACTCATGATATTTATACGGGAGCATATGAGGAGTACCAGCGCCTGGAATGTCGTTCGTGATGAACGCGAGTTGACTTCAGCGGACAAAATAATGCAAAATGCATATGGCACTATAGCTGCATAAATACCACTGAACCTCAACCTAAACATTTCATCCTCCCGAGAAACGTTTGTAGGTCGACATCTGACGAAACACCTGAGGGACCTTTTCTACAATTCCCGTTCTTAACTAGGGAGGAATCCGATACATCTCAAAGGTATTTATCACACTGAGGTGAGCAAGGTTTTTAGGACTTCCAGTTTTGTACATCGATTTTGACTAACCTCTAGTGATGATAGAGAATCAACGGTTGGAAATGAAGAACAGCCGCTGAGTAGTTGCTGGAAATGATCAGCTCACCTTTATAGGCGTTGTTTAAGAAACCGCAATGGGATACCATTAACGTATTGGAATAATGATAGACCGAATCTCCTGATTACCGGGCACCTGCCTCACCTTTTTGAACATTGCTCGCCATTCGCCCATTCTGGCTGCTATGCCGACCTTCCTAATGTGCATATCTGGACCATGTGCTTTAATCCTGGCATAGATGCTGACATATCGGTATCCTGTGGAATGAGACCTTTAAATTCACTTCGAAAGATCCTGGTGAATATGATGAACAGGGTCGGTTAGATAAATCTACCAAGCTTTCCAACAGATTTTATATAGTATGATTTACCACGACGTTTACTACATTTATGCAGGACAGATGGCTAGCTCGGACGACTGTTTTCTGAAGTGATGGAACTTTCCCGCACTTTCCTGCACATCAATCGGTTAAAATTTCTCAAGTTTTGGCTACGGTCAAAACAACTTAGTAAAATTATTGTCCATTTTAGCAAAGTACCCACATTAAGTTCATTATACCTGTAATATGCCATCTTTTCTGGTGTAAAGCTGGTCGCAGAGACCGAAGTCAAACCGGTACAAAAAGCCAGCTGAAAGGTGATGGCCAACGATGAATACAAATCGTAACGTTTACAGCGCATCTTCCGATATAGTCCAGGCTATGAAAGTTCACGATAAGTTGCCAATAAAAAAATCGTCTCGCTCATAACGTGGTTATACATCAATTTGGATATAACGTCATTTTTAATCCCAACAACAAGGCAGGAAATGAAAACCCCAACATGACTGACATTCGATATTTTCTGAAGTGTGATGAGGAACCATTTGAAAGTAGCCAATACATGTATCACTCTGTCAAGAACACTTGGATCACAAACTACGTGGAAGTAATGAATGCCTTGGCTCCCTGAAAGCGAAACGGCCGTTAGAAATATTTGCCTGGCAATAAAAATTTCAAATCTACGTCACTGATTAGGAATTCAACAACATATCAATTTTAAAAAGACATAACTTTTAAACAAAATGCTGAAGTACATAAGACTTAGAGTCCGCAAATTCTACCGTGGATATGTCGCATACTTCAAGTAAAAGCCTTGTTATTATGCTTTAAAGTCTGTTCTCTTTTCGCTTCTTCATTCATAATTCTAGGTAAAAACGTACTAAAACGATTAAAATCATTTGCTTTCCTACGTACTTTGATGTCATGTGGCCGCATTATGATAAAGGTTAAAAATGAGGCGTAAATAAAGCACACAAACCACGGATGAGGTATCGAAACTCATCGATAAATGAAGAAATTTATATTGTTCTAGCAAACTTACCGTAAAATAGATGCTTATGAATATTACTCAAGAATGCAATGGTACAATATCTTTTCAATTTCAAAGCAGGTGAGCGAATGCAAGTAGAAGATTTCGAATTTTAACGCTTGAGAAGCAGTTTATAAGTTATCCTATTCAAGTAAATTAACAATTTAAGCACAATAGTTTATAAGAAAGTTAATTTATGTGTAAAAATGCACTAAAAAATTCTTTTTATACTACTTCTAGTTCATCGCTGAGTACAGTGCCGTCGTTATCTACCTACTTGCGCATAGTTTATGTAAACAGAAATGTTGAAACAGCAAAGCCACTCGCTTTCAACATCTATTTACTTCATTCCCAATTATCTAAATAGCAACATAACTACTTAATTTACACCTCCTGGAGAGGCGAGACTGGTTTAAAAAATAGGCGGGCTCAATCTGTCGCTCCGGTAGAATGGCATGCGAAATGAGCGGCTTGTGTTTGCATATCCCAAAGTAACCAAATATTAGGGTAACCGCTTCATTAACACTATTAGATACAAAAAGCGTTGTCAAGAGTCACATACTCGGGTTAATTAACTGGTGAAGGCAAGTGGAACGATGTCTCCCAACCAACCGCTAGAGGCATATTTTACGCGCATGTAGTAATATACTGAGAAATCCAATGACACTAGCAAAAATATCGTTTGCCAGTCACCATTTGAAGCTTGCGTTTGAATCTTTGACATCAGCGCTATCCTCCCCATAATTGAAAATCTCTGCTTTGACGGAAGTAACAGATGTACACGTTGAACAAACGATTCTAGGGTGTCTTTGTGGTTGCCGGGTTCTTAGATTTCTGTTTCTCGCAAGCACTTTTTATAGCTTGAGTTTTTAGCTTCAAATTTTAGATGCTCTCCGCAGCGCAAAGAATTATATTTTTTTCTTCTCCCGATTAAGTTTTGGTGCGAATAGCTGACCCAATGTTTGAAGTTTTCCATGATTTTTTGAAGATTAGTCCGGTTGATTACCATATTGGCCACAAGAGTTAATTGTGTACTTATTCTCACTACACCATATTGTCATAGTTCAAAGTGAAAACACACGGATTCATGTTTCAAGCAAGAGGCAACTATGCAACACAGTCAACTTCGGGCGAAGTTGGTTCAATATTTTACAATTATCGGACGCAAGGCTGAAGGAATGCCTAACGCAACCCACTAGCAAAGATATGTGCAACCAAGACTGAGAGGGATGTAACCCAGAATTAAGGTATATAGCGTGATTCCGAGGTGTTGAAAATCGAAGTGGCGATGGCTTGAAGGTAAATTTCATAATTGATTTATCTCAATATACCCTTTAGCAATTATATTACAGTTAAAATAATTCAGAACGGAGTCATGACCAACACGCTACTGTCGAATCTGAATCTAGATCAAAAACATTTGCCGCGAGGGTTGCTTTACAGTCAGAGATCTTTCAAAGTTTGTTTTTCTCCAACTGTACTAAAGATAAGGAATAAGTCTGACGAAGTATCTTATACCTGTGCATCTTACACTGAGTTACTATCATTGATACGGAAATGTTTAATATGAAATTAATTCATAAAAGAAATTGTTTCCAATCACCGAGAACGAATACGTTATACAGCGACGTCTACTCATAGTTAAGCTGTCAAAACGGGTTGATATGAACAGCAATTTCGAACATCGAAATCAGCTTACCTCATGCAAGAAGGTTGTACATAAGAATCATAGGTCGTTTTGATAATCTTATCGTCTGAATTTTGAGGCTCTGTAATTGATGCACAAGTTAAAGATAACAGGAAATTATCACCAAGGTTTCGGTACACATCGCTTCAGAAACAGTCAAAGAATCAAATATGCAACATTGTTTTCTGTGGATGCTAGAACGAACTTGCAAAAAGCATCGCAAGTCGATTCGAGCAGATTCTAGTGATTAGGAATGTAGAAATTGAATAAAGGCTCTTTTATTACGGATTAATAGGGGTAGCGGCTAAATGCAACGCCTTAAATTTGCCGTCAACCTGCCTGTAGGACAAAATGGAACTTCCCAGTAGGTATGTGAAGTTCACCTGACTTTCAAGAAAAAGTAGGTTGCAATCAAGAAGTAACCTGAAAAATGAGACCCCTCATTTCCAATGCGGTACTAGAGAAAGCTCAGAGTTCCAGTTAAAACGGTTCCTGGGAAAAATTAGGTTAGATGCTGGAGAGGAATTTTCGCATATTTAACCTGCAATTGTAGCAGCAGGTTGGCGGCATCCGAGACAGAAAGAATGGCAGTCTAGGATTCCGGAAGTACAAATACAAATTGCTTTTTTACAAAGTATGAAAATGTGCTCTAACAAAGTCGAAACTTTAAATCCTGTGACTTTTAACCGGAGCCACCACAGGGAGGTTTGACCGAAGAGCAAAAAATTTATATTTGTCCCTCAGTAGAAGATGTAACTGAAGCTAATGCAATTTCTGAAGTTTCATGACTGTTTTAATGAATTAAATTTTCTCTTAAACGATTTAAGCTTTAGGCGAATGAAACACGTTTAATCCGGCAGGTGTCTCTGAAATTCCCGTGATTACGGTCGAAACACTATTTGGGTAAAGAACGATCACTGTAGTAGCCTTTCAAGAAGGAGAAGAGAGAGTGTTCTAATGATCAAGGCATTACCTTATTGAGCCTGCCGTTAAAGTCTACGAATTGTGCTGGAAAGAAGCTGCCAGGAATAACCGTCTGTGTCATATAGGAAGCGCTGCGTTTCTTCAGGTTGGGACGAAATACCTCTGTCTATATCGCAGCCTTATGCCTGACTGTTTAGAAATCTTGCGAGTTCGCTAATGTGGTTTACTTGTGCTTTGATGATATCGATAAATCCCCGCATCAAGCCATGAGTGCCCTGTGAAACATATGATAGCCAATAGCTACCGTCCATCCAGTGACTATATAATAATAGCAGCGTTGCATCAATGTCACTGGTTTCCGCCAAGACTGCGTTCTGTCCCCTCTTCTCTCTGTGCTTTTCGTCCAATGGATAGTCAGGCCCAGTTACTGTGACCAAATTTTCCATGTAGTACTCGTGAAGAAGAAGAAACTGCATTACACAGACAACGTTATTTTGTGGCATCTTCTGAAAATAAATTTTAGCGTTTTCAGAGAAAGTTGGCAACCGATTTCGAAGTTAATTACACGGTTTTAAAAAGTCTAACGGAGTATGCCTATTTCTCTCTCATTCTTCATTCCGTTTAGCTCGGCCGATAAACGGAAAAGCATGGGAAAGTTGATGGTTCATATTTCTCAGTATCGTTTTTAATTGAGATGGAACATGTGAGAAAGCGATCTACATGCGAATTGGAATAGCCAGCAACAGTTTTGGTGAGAATGATCATTGAATGGCCATGACTGACATCGGGCAAGCGCGTGGTGCCATACTCGGCTTATTTTTTTGTCGAAGCTCAAGCGCTGTTACAATCATGTTAGCCTTAGAGACACTAGCTGAGGCGTATGCTTTGATTGACTTAGAATATGTCTGTTCTTGTCAAGAAATAACTTCTACTATGCTATTTTTCCCGATTTTTCGGTTTATTTCTGTTTAGGAATTTCAGAATTAACGTAAAAGTCATTCTTTTTGACAATTACAATAAGGAGATTACATTTAAAGCCCGTACGAGCCAAAATTTTGTGTTCAGGATCGCGGACAATCGGCTTGCACTTGAATTTTCAATTTTCGGTAATCATTATAAGAGTGGTATTAGAGATATTAAATAATTTCATAACTTTCTACTTTAAGGTATAGTTAATATATAGCTTTCACTGTGTTTTGATTATGACTGAGTTGATGTTTCAATCTGTTGCTTTAAACATTTTTTGCATAACCATACAGTAAGGTTTTGATATATAAGAAGTCTGTATAGAATGGTCTAGAGCATTTTGAAACGTGCCTGCGAATCGTAATTTCCCTGTCTTTGAGGAATTGATGTCTGAGACTGGTGGTGATTACGAGTCACATATGGTATTTATTTTGGTTATAAAATAAGTATGACTACCGTGCTACTTTAGTCGCTTGGCCCACCTCCACGTGTATTTCCGGGTCCTCCGTTTCGACCGCCACCCCCGTCGCTACATCTTCCCCCGCCACGACTACCACCACCTCGTATGCCGCCAAATGTTCGAGGTAATCTTAGGAAAATTTTCAAGCAATTTCTTTTTGTCTGCTTCCATGCGATAACTGCGTTGCCGATTTCATGTAGTGCATGACGCATCGCCGATTGTACAGTATCTAGTTTTTCACACCCTGATCCTTCCTACCTGCCTCTTTGATGTCAGTCGTTGGCGAATAGTGGTTACCACTTTGCGACTCTGAATTTATCCTATTCCTTATAAATTTCCTTTCATTAAGTTAATTCCAAGTGTTAAATTTAATATGGCTATTTTCTTCTTTTCTGTAAAGATCAGAGTCTTACTAATTGACATTGTTGCGATGGATGTTAACTTTTGCCTTTACTTGAATTTCGGTTCCGGTAGAAAGCGATTTATGTAGTATATGTTATGACTCCGACATTTGTTTATGAGCCGTCATCCTGTCAAATATTCTAGGTCACGTGTACCCCGCCAAATAGATTATTGCATAGTTGAAATGACTGGACAAAATCCCATCGTCGTCTTCGTAACATTTGGTTTTCGGAAACAACGATTATGTTAATTCTGATTTGAATACACTATCGCGCCAGTACATATTCTTGAGCATTGACAAATTTGATGGTACCTAATGGCGTCGCTATGAATCGTATCAATGCAGTTAACAGTAAATAGTACCGTACGTAAACAAATTAATTCAGAAAACAAATAAACGCCTTAACACTTTTTACTGTTTCGAGTATCCTAATAGCATGCTTATCAATCGTATCTTCTGCTTCGCCGTCTTAGATTTGCGTGAGAATTAAATCGGTTCGTGTATTGAACCAATTCCAAGTTCTCTGAGTGTAGCAGATTACTTTTGTTAACCGACTGTTCACAAAATTCCTATGATTGCAACTCTCCAGCTGTTTCTTCTGATTCAGAAAATCAGCCACGGTAGTCAGAAATGCTTATCACTATTAGCTTTGTCGTAATCTCAAATAGGATCGCGTTAACGGCAGTTTTAACCAAAAAATCGAATTATCCTTTATTTTAGTATACCTGTTTATTTTATTTTGCTACGTCGCAATTGAATTTGTTTATTTTCATTATGGTAGGTCCACCTCCAGTCGGTTTGCCACCACCACAGATTCCGCCGCCGATCACCTCACAGTTGCCGCCTCCTATCAAGGCGCAGTCTTCGCATCCAATGACTTCACAGATACCTCCACCTATCACTACGCAGATGCCCCCTCCTATGGTATCGCAGATGCCTCCGCAGGGTCCGCCTCCTATGACCTCGCAGGTACTGTCAGACTTCGCGTCGTTAGTTGCATTGCTTTACTTTACAGGTATCACCAATGATGGGAGGTCAAGGACCACACGCGAAGGGTTTGCCACCAATGACAGGTCGCCTGCCTCCGCCGATGATGGGATCTCAAATGCCGCCACCTATGACGTCACAAATGCCGCCACCTATGTCTGGGCAAATGGTGCCACAGATGCCACCTCCGGTGTCGTCACAGTTACCGATGACGTCCAGTGGACAAATGATGCCTCCCCAGATGCCGCCACCTCTAAGCGCATTACGTGGACCACCGCCCAGAATTCCGATTGCTGGTCTTCAAGGCCAGAGTCCACTCCGACCCCCGAATGTACGATTCTGCTATCATTAGTATTGATTTCTTTAAGCCACGTTCAAGTTGTCTTTCAGATATTTGACGGAAATGCTGATGGCCATAGTGTGCCCAGTTCGTCCGCTGGACAAATGGCGATGTCGCCTTCGGCTCAAAGCCTCGGGCAGCATTTTTCCCAAGATACATCTTCCGGCATGCAGAACATGACTGTGTCACAGCAGCAGCCTCCTGTGCAACAACAGCAAC